GCTTAACCTGTCCTGTAAGAACAATAAAACCACAACATTATTGTTTGAAAACAACTGCTATATTATTTTCTGGGGGTAATGTTAAAAACTAGGAAAAATTTAAAATTAGCCAGGCAAAATTTGTGCAAATGGTACAATAGTGCCTTGATGGGACCTTAACTGGAAGAGGGATTCTGCGTTAATGTATTTCTAACCAGATTTCCTTTACTCTGATGCAATGTGAAACAAATTGTTTAAACTGGCAGAAGATACTGTACATCAATGGCTCAAGCAGACTCTGAAGAATGCAACCTCTGACCTGGAATTCCTCCAGTGTTTTTTTTTCTTATCAGAAGTCATTGAGGAGTGATAGAAGATAAAAATAAAATCAGATTCCCAATGGCTGCCCCTTAATCAATCACAGCTTTGTTGTAAATCCATCAGATATTTTTGCCAAGAGGTAGAAGGGTTTATCCAGGCACGTTTTCTGAATGCTGGAAGTTGGCAATGATATTCATAAACTGCCTTGGGTCAAGGGAAGCATTTGCACTTGTTCTCAATGAAAGTGTGCAATTCCCACCTTTCTGCAGGCTGTTGTACACTTTTTGTGTGCAATTCGCATCCTTCAGCCATATTGTACTCAGCAGGGAAAAGCCTTGAAATATTCTCCCCCTTAAGCCAAACAGCATCAGTTCCCTTGAGGGAATAGTAGACTCATGGTGTAATGACTAGGGCTATGACCCTAGGACTAGACGAAGCGGATTTTTAGGATAAGTATGTGTTTGTAGTAGTAGTCTTGATATGTACTGTCGTGATTGTTGTATATTGTCTTTCTATGTTGTTGTTCACCGCCACGAGTCGCCCCTAGGGCTGAGAGTGGCGGTCAATAAGTACAAGAAATAAATAAATAATAATAATAATAATGTGCAACACATCTTTGACCATCTCGAAAGACAAGATGCTGTTAGTTGAACTGTGGGAATAAAAACACACACACCCCATTATAATAATGCGATAGATTCCTTGATGGGATTCTTGATGCTGACTGCATTGTGAAGAAGCATCAAAGGCAAGCAAGAGACTGAAGGAAAAATATGTTTTCCTTTTTGCAGACTGCTCCCTTGAGCAATGAGGACCAAGCCAGAAAAAGCAAAGGTCAAGATTCAAAAAGGGGTTTCCCTTGGGGTGGGAAAAGTTGTTTTTTCTCTCTAGTTCTCGCTGCTTTATTTTGAACCAATGGGTAAGATAATGCTTCCAAACTGATTGCATTCCAGGCTTGAAATCAGAGGATGCTGTAACCAGTTTCATCTTTCTCCTTTCCACCAGGAAGAGAAAAATGCCTTGTGTGTGGACTGGAAATTACATTTTAAAAGGTTTTGATAGCACAAAGCCTCCCAAGCTCTTCCTTCGAGCACTGACTTCCAGCACTGCCAGGGAAATGTTTCAACGTGAGTGAATGGGTCTGGCGCCCAAGCTCCTGGAGGGCTTCAGAGGGTGTTGCGTTAAATATAAAAGCCACATGGGGGATAACGTTCATTTGGCAAGCTCTTTCTCCTGCAGGCACAGCGACTCCTCTGTGGACACTTAGAACTAGTCTATGGGGAGGATCGGCTCAGGCTGAACATGTTCACTAAAGAACAACCATGCATTGGCTTTGATTTCTTCCCATCCTGGCCAACCTTTTAAAAAGAGCAAGCCATTGCTGCAATACCACTGTCTTCAATGGGAATTATTAGGATGCCATGAGGTATAATATAAGGACATTTATTCAGAAAAGATTATTTTGAAATTAATAGTTTTTTTACCCAAGTAATGGAGGGACTGCCATATGTCAACAGGTGATTTGAAAGCACATACGTGTCCTCAATATGTGACATCACTTTTTAATTCCTTCAAAGTTAAAATGGAAGCATATTTGCCAATTTATGACCTCAAAGATAGGGTTCAACTTTGGTTCATTGCTGTGTACCTTGAAGTCATTTTGCAGTTCTGGTGACCCTAGGGTAACCTTATTGTACAACTGTCTCAACAAGATAATGGTTTGACTTAATTGGTCTACCTTTACTTGAAACTACCAATAGGACTGAAGCCTGTGTATTGAAGATATTCTAAATTCCAAAACATACAGGACTTTAAAAAAAGAACTGAGAATAAAGAAACATGCATATACTGAAAATCTTATGCATACTATCTCCTGACACAAAACATTAAAATCCTTAACATAGCTATTGCCCTAAATGGGACTACTCTAGAATAATGGTACTCACTGTTTATAGATAATATGTTGGTGAGATCATCTTTCAACATGATATTTAGGACCACAAATATTTTTTCCTTTTGTATAAGGAAAGGAACATAGGCCACGTTAAAAAAAATAAACAGAAAAGGAAGCACCGCAAAGGAAAATACTGAAATGTTAGCACTATTGATCAGTGTTACAATCTTCAGTAGTAATTTTTGAAATACGCAATTTAAGCATGCTTTTTAATGTTACTAAAATAATAATAAAATAATTGTATTTATTTATTTAATTTGTCTGCCACCTTTCTCCCAGTGGGAACTAATCCAACTCCTAAAGAGACTAAATAAAAAAATTCTATGTCATCAAAAATTAGTCCCAAATTTGCTGGAAAGAACATGTTTCCTTTTTTAAACCCATGTTAGATACTACGAAAGAAGCTATAGTAGAGAATCTGAGCCTTTTAAAACTGGATCTGCACTGCCACATAATGCATTTTTGGAAGGTGGATTAACTGCATTGAACTGGATTATATGAGTCTACACTGCCATTATATCCTTGGCTATTCTGGTTGTGATTAATGGGTGCTAGAGTCCAAAAAATACATGGAGAGCCACACGTTATGTAATACTGACACCCTCTGTTACTTGCTGTATTGGTAGGATGGCAAGCCATGCTTTACTCAGATTTGGCAGACACTAAAGGGAAAAAAGAATGTGAATAATCCAGATTTAAACAACGAAACAAGGGCTCCTTAATGTTTCCTTACGCTTCTGGAACACATTCCTGTCACCAGGGGTCAAGACCTCTTCTCTGTGGCCACAAATGAAAACTTATGCTTCAAACTCACATGATGAATGTGATTTTCCTGCTTCTTGGCAGGGGGTTGGACTGGATGGCCCACGAGGTGTCTTCAAACTCTATGATTCTATAACTCACTAAAAATAAGGCTCATTGATATGAAATCACAGCGGCTGTCTAAAATATTATAATCGCCTCATTTTTAATATTTGTTTCCTTTTAGTGTTGTTTTTACAGTTATGAAATGAGGTGAAGCCAGTTATGGGTCATTATTATTATTATTATTATTAAACTTTATTTGTACCCTGCTAGCATCTCCCGAAGGACTCGATGCGGCTTACAAAGGCCGAGGCCTCAACATAACAACAACATAAAACAATACAACTCAAAGCAAATCAAAAACATAAAGCAATATCAACAAAACATTACATCATAAACAGTAAAACCAAGGCCGGGCCAAGTAGTGGGTACAGATTAAAAAAGTGCTGGGTGTGATAGGCGGCATATTGGATTTCAGGGCATGTGCAATGTGTAGAGGATCTTAAAACCCTAATAAAGTGCTTCTAGGACATAGTACTGAAGTTTCCTATTCCGGGAAGTCACATCGGAACAGCCAGGTCTTCAAGCTCTTCCTAAAGCCTGCCAACATGGGTGCTAATCTGATGTCTTTGGGGAGGGTGTTCCAAAGTCGGAGGGCAACCACAGAAAAGGCCCTATCCCTCCTCCCCACCAACCGCACTTGCGATGCTGGTGGGATCGCGAGCATGTTCAAGAAGTGTGTGTATGTATATATGGGTGTGTGTGTATGCATGGTATTTTTGGTTTCAGTTGAATTTAACCCTGGGCTGGATTTTGTGGTCAAAATTATTCCTAAAATCTCTTTGGTGAGAGAAAAAAACCCAGCTGGCAACAAAGAGATTTGGAAAGACTTCACTTGAATTTGATCTTAATGTTTTTTTTAATATGGTATAAACAAAACCTTTCTATTTTTATTTTTTAAAAGAACAATATATATACCTTAAAGGGGGGTATGAATTATCAAAATTGACTCTTCAAAAAAATCATTTTTGTATGCACCCTCCTTATGTGAATAGGATCTTATGTAAAAAAATCTCCTTATGTGAATAGGATCTTATAATAAATTGCAGTAATCAGTGTTTTTTTTTTTCTCCCTCCCCTTCTCTTTCTGTTCTTCCTTTCTTGCCCTGGAGGAGAAAAAAAAGGAGAGAAATAAACCACTCCCTTCTGAAGTATTTAAAGTTAGAGAGAGAGAAAAAGAGAAAGGAGGGGGGGAGATGGAAATAAAACACCCCCTATTCTTTCTCCTTTGAATGCTGGTAAAGCAAGACACACACATAACAAAAGTCACAGCCTGACTGACTAGTATGGAACTAGTTAACCTTTAACAATTTTATGCTGATGTCATAACTGAGCATGAGTACTGATTAATCCAACCTTTTCTCTCTCTCTCTCTCTTCCCCCTCCCTATAAAAAATATTTTTATTGAGGGAGGGGGGGAGGGAGAGCATAAGGAGGGAAAGGGGGGGGGAGAAAAAGAAATAATTTAGAGCAGCCATCTTTGTTTTATGCAGAAATCTTGTCAGTTTCCCCCCAGTGCCAGGAATGTCTAAATATTGTTCATGATCACACAGATCTTAAGAGGAGATTGGGGGGGAAAGAAAGAAAGGAAGGAAGGGGAAAAAAGAAAAAGAGAAGGAAATATAGCCAAGAGCAAGAAGAAGAAGAAAAGAAGCTTTTGTTTTTATTTTTAAAATTTGGAGCTGATTATTTTTTTTATTTTGGAAAGGGGGGGAAATCTTTGTTTTTTTAACCCTGAGGGGGTTAAAAACTAAGCCAGCCATTTTGTTTTTAAAGATATATATATATAAAGAAGGGGGATATATATATATATAGATATATATACACCTCCTGAGGAAGAAAAAAAAGGGAGGGATTGAACAGAAAGGGGGGAAAAGAGGGGGGGCATTTTTGTTTTAAAAATAATTTAAAGGCGGCCATTTTTGTTGCTTCTTCTTCTGGTGGGGAAAATAATTATTATCCCTCAGAATTTAAATATTATATTAATTTTTTTTTTAGAGAAAGAAAGGACCATAACCAATTAGGGATATGTTGGATTGCTTTTTTAAAGACTTAATGATAATCAATGGGATTTTTAATTCTTTTTGAAGCAGCCTGAGAAGAAAAGAGGAGGAAGAAGGGGGGGTCGCGCCCCCTCCCCTATTTTTCCCTCAATCAATCCATTTTTTTTTTGCTATTTTCCTTCCTTTCTTTCTTGTTTTTTCTATTTTTTCTCTCTCCCTCAGCGCCACCATGGCTTCTCCTCTGAGGGAAGACGACGAGGAGGAGGAGGAGATGGTGGTGTCTGAGGCGGAGGGCGACGAGGACGGCGACGAGGAGGAGGAAGAGGAGGAGGAAGAAGGAGAAGAAGCAGAAGAAGAAGAAGCCCAAGCTAGGAGGGAGGACAACAACAACAGCAGCAGTTGCCCGGGCGGCGCCGCCGACATCTTCCCGCCCGCAGCACCAGCCTTGCCGCCACCACCGCCGCCTCCGCCAGGTAAACACCAACAAAGCTTCTCCCTCTGGCTCTCTCCCTTAAGTAGGGGATTTTGGCGCCAAAACTGCCCCAGTCCTAATCTCCCCAGCAACAAGGGGACAAACAAAATCTGCCCCGGTTACTGAGAGAAAGGGGGCGCTGTGATTGGTGGGGGCTGTTTGTCAACAGCCAACGGCTTTCGAACGCTGAGCGGCCGAAGGTTCCAAACCGACCGTTGAGGGACCCGCCGTTCCGTCCCCCCGACACTCCCCCCTCCGCGCGCCTCTCATCCCCCCTCCCCCACCCCCCTCCCCCCCACTTGGCCTCCCCCACTCCCACCTTTTGACCTCCTCCGGGGTTGGCCTCACCCGCCACCGGGTGGCTTTCGACGCTGTGGCGGCTTGGTTTGGAAATATTTGGGGTTTTCCTCTCCCTCCCAAGGGGGTGGTGGTCCCGTCCGAGGCAACAGCCGCTTCTTCACTTCTTAAGCGACTCCTCATTTCCACTCAGAGGCTCCCAAGAGTTGCCAGGCTCTCCTTCTGAGGCTCCAAGAGTTCTGTTTCTGCCTACTAAAAGTCTCAGGCCCCTTCCACAAAGCTGAATGAAAGCCCACATTTTCTGCTTTGAACTGGACTATATGGCAGTGTGGACTAAGATAACCCAATTCAAAGCAGATATTGTGGCTGTGGAAGGGCCCTCAGGGTCCACCAACAGTGGGCCCATCCACACACTAGGAATGGGCAAACTTCAGCCCTCCAGGTGTTTTGGACTTCAACTTCCACAATTTCAGAACTTGCTAAGGGCCCTTCCACACAGCCCTATATCCCAGAATATAAAGGAAGAAAATTCCACAGTGTCTTCGTTGAACTGGATTACCTGAGTCCACACTCAGATAATAATAATGAACTTTATAATGTGGGATTTTCTGCCTTGATATTCTGGGATATAGGGCTGTGTCGTGTGGACTCAGATAACCCAATTGAAAGCAGATATTTTGGATTATCTGCCTTGATATTCTGGCCCTTTCACTATTGGCTGCTATTGTGGATTATCTGCCTTGATATTCTGGGTGATATGACTCTAGAAGGGCCCTCAGGGTCCAGGCAACAGTGGGCCCATCCACACAGCCCTATTATCCCAGAATATCAAGACAGGAAATCAACATGATCAAGGGTCTGGAGAACAAGTCCTATGAGGAGCGGCTTAAGGAGCTGGGCATGTTTAGCCTGAAGAAGAGAAGGCTGAGAGGAGATATGATATGATAGCCATGTATAAATATGTGAGAGGAAGCCACAGGGAGGAGGGAGCAAGCTTGTTTTCTGCTTCCCTGGAGACTTGGACGCGGAACAATGGCTTCAAACTACAAGAGAGGAGATTCCATCTGAACATGAGGAAGAACTTCCTGACTGTGAGAGCCGTTCAGCAGTGGAACTCTCTGCCCCGGAGTGTGGTGGAGGCTCCTTCTTTGGAAGCTTTCAAGCATGTGTCAGGGGTGATTTGAATGCAATATTCCTGCTTCTTGGCAGAATGGGGTTGGACTGGATGGCCCATGAGGTCTCTTCCAACTCATTGATTCTATGATTCTATGATCTTCTGGGTTATATGAGTCTGTGGAAGGGCCCTCAGGGTCCAGGCAACAGTGGGCCCATCCACACAGCCCTATTATCCCAGAATATCAAGGCAGGAAATCCCATAATGTCTGCTTTGAACTGGGTTACCTGAGTCCACACTCAGATAATAATAAACTTTATTAATGTTTATTATTATTATAAACTTTATTTATACTGTGGGATTTTGATATTTTCTGCCTTGATAAAATTCCACATTTTCTTTGAACTGGACTATATGGCAGTGTGGACTCAACCCAGTTCAAAGCAGATATGGCGGGATTTTCCGCCTTGATATTCTGGGTTATATGACTCTGTGGAAGGGCCCTCAGGGTCCAGGTAACAGTGTGGACTCAGGGCCTTGTCATACAGCCATATAAATGGCACATTTTCTTCTTTGACGTGATTATATGGCAGTGTGGATTTATAACTCAGTTCAAAGCAGATATGGTCGGATTTTATTGCTTGATATTCTGGGTTATATGACTCTGTGGGAGGGCCCCCAGGGTCCAGGTAACAGTGGACTCACGGCCCTGCCACACAGCCCTATATCCCAGAATATCAATCCAGAAAATCCCACAATATCTACTTTCAACTGGGTTATCTGGGTCCACACTGAGATAATGTGGGATTTTCTGCCTTGATATCCTGGGATATAGGGCTGTGTGGAAGGCCCAGAGGGTTTGGCCTGTCAAGCAGACCTTGAGATGGAGAGGGAAGCCTCCTCTTTTGGACAGGAATCCGTCTTATGTCAGACAGGCCCCTTCTATGCAGCTGTATCAAAGCCACAGTGAACTGGATTATATGGCAGATAACCCAGTTCAAAGCAGATATTGTGGATTATCTGCCTTGATACGCTGCCTTATATGGCAGAGTGGAAGGGCCGTCAATGTCTAAAAGTTCATTTGGGCCTCTTTCTCCACCCCCTCTGAGTTTTAAGGCACTTTGTTATTATCCTAGAGATGTGTGTATGTATCTTGTTAACTGTCTGAGGGCATGCATGGGCCAACTTCAGCCCTCCAGGTGTTTTGGACTCCAACTCCCATAATTCCTAACAGCCTACCAGCCCATGCCTGACTTAGGGCCAACCTCATGAATGTGAGACTTCCAAGCAAGAGGAAAAGTCTCTCTCTCCTTCAGGCTCTGTGTACAAATACAAATACAAGCTCGGTTTGGCCTTCTTTCTCCACAACTTCAGGGTATTAAGGCACTTTTATTATTATCCTGTGTGCGTGTGTGTGGGTATCCTGAACTGTCTTTGGCTTAGGGCAACGTCATGAGTGGGAGACATATACCCCTATATGACATTAAGGCACTTTGTTATTGTCATTTATACATGTGTGTGTATTTGTTAATTGTCTGCCTTTGATTTAGGGCAACCCCATGAATGGAAGACATATATACCATTATATGGTATTAAGGCACTTTGCTATTGTCATTTACGTGTGTGTGTATTTGTTAATTGTCTGCCTTTGACTTAGGGCAACCCCATGAATGGGAGACTTCCAAGTGAGAGGAATAGTTTCTCTGACAGGCTCCTTTGGACATAAACCAGTCTTAAGTACAGATATGTCAATAAATAATTAGACTTTCAATTGGCCCTCTTCTTTACTTCCTTAGGTGTTAAGGCACTTTATTATTATCATAAATATTTATTTATTTATTTAAAAGTTTTATATACCGACCTTCTCACCTCTCTTGAGGGACTCAGACCAGTTTCCAACCATCATATCACATACAGTTAATAAAAACATAATAATTCATTTTACACTAAAACATTAAAACAGCAATTACATTCAATAACTACAATGGTCAGTCGTCACACTAACTCGTTGTTCATCATCCTCCATCCATATCTGGCTCACTTGTCGAATGCCTGTCTCCATAACCACGTCTTCAGCTGTTTCCTGAATGTCAGGATAGAAGGGGCGGTTCTGATCTCCAGTGGGAGAGAGTTCCAGAGTCGAGGGGCCACCACCGAGAAGGCCCTGTCCCTTGTCCCCACCAGACGCGCTTGCGAGGCCGGTGGGACAGAGAGCAGGGCCTCTCCAGACGATCTTAATAATCTTGATCGTTCATAGGGGAGAATACGTTCGGAGAGGTAAACAAGGCTGGAGTCGTTTGTGTGTGTGTACATAATGGCATTATGGCACTTGGTTATTGTCATTTACACATGTGTGTGTATTTCTTAATTGTCTGCCTTTGACTTAGGGCAACCCCATGAATGGGAGACATATATATTATATGGCATTAAGGGACTCTGTTATTGTCATTTACTCATGTGTATGTGTGTGTATTTGCTCATCATCTGACTTTGACTTAGGGCAACACTATGAATGAGAGACTTCCAAGTGAGAGGAAAAGTCTCTCCAACAGTCTCCTTTGGTCATAAACCATCCCTAATAAGTACATGTATGTCAGTAAATAAATAGAAGTTCAATTAGCCCTTTATCTCCATCCCCTCAGGTGTTAAGGCACTTTATTATTGTTATTTACACATGTGTGCGTATTTGTTAATCGCCTGCCTCTGACTCAAGGCAACCCCATGAATGGGATACTTCTGAGAGGAAGTCTCTCTGACAGTCATGCCCCTGTGGGATATCAATCTGCACCATGTACAGATATATCAAATAAATAGAAGCTCAATTGGCCCTCTTCTTCAACCCCTCAGGATATTGAGGCACTTTATTATGATCATTTATACATACTTGTGTGCGTATATAGATGCTGTTAATTGTGTTCAAGTTGACTTTGGCTCATGGCGACTTCATGAATGAGAGACCTTGAGGTCATCCTGCCCTCAATAGCCTCACTCAATTTTTGAAGACTGAGGATCATTGCTTCCTTGATTATTATTATTTATTTTATTATGTACTATATTTCTATACCGCCATTCTCAGCCCAAGGTTGACTCATGGCGGTTTACAAAATGGCACGATTTGGTGCCCACAACAATACAAAGATAATTAAACATTAAAAACATTTAACATAGATAAAAATTTCATTACAAATAACATCAATAAAACATAATAAAAAACAATAAGTCCTCTGCATTTCACTACCAATCATTATCCAGTCGCGTTGTCCAACCGTTCCGAGATCAGAGTTGAACAGCTACACTGCGTTTGGGAAAGCCTGCTCATATAGCCAGGTTTTGACTTTTTTGCAAAACGTTAAGAGGGTGAGGGCCGATCTAATGTCCTTGGGGAGGGCATTCCACAACTGAGGGGCCACCACTGAGAAGGCCCTGTCTCTCGTCCCCGCCAGTCAAGCCTGTGAAGATGGCAGGACCAAGAGCAGGGCTCTCCAGAAGATCTTAAATTCCTAGATGGTTCGTAGGGAGAGATACGTTTGGACATATAAGCAGGGCCGGAATTTATGCATCTGGAATGTATATAGAATGTATATATTTAT